GGGTGCTGCCGTGTGCGTGGCTGCACACGTGCTGGCGATGTGTGTGCCTCTACGCGGCAGGCTGGCAGTGCATGTGGGCGCGGGCACGCTGCTGGGCTTCTGCACACGCGTGTGCTGGCATGTGGGGGAGCAGAGCCCTCCACACACCTGAGAGCTCGCCAGGATCATATGTGCACACGTGTGTGGCTCTACGCGCATACGCTGGTGCTCAGGGGGGCTGGGGTGTGTGTCTGCGTGCACACGGACGGGTAGCCTGGGTGTATGCACGTGTGCTGGCAACACATGTGTGTGTTTGCACATGTGTGCATGCATGTGTGCTGTTACCTCTGTGTGGGTGCACAGAGGCTGACACCGCTCTGCGCGTGCACACAGGTCTATGTGTATGTGCATGGAAGGGCAGCGTGCGGCACGGATATGTATGTATGTGCTTGTACGTATGCGTGTGTGCACGCTCACATGCAGATTGGTACATGTGTGTGTTACACACGTGTGCATGCACATGTGCTGGCGCTCTGGGTGCCTGTGCTAATACTGTGTGTGTATCTGCACGGCTACGTGTGTGCTGGCACTCTGTGTGCGTACAGGGCTTCTCCGCGAGTGTGTAGCCGCACGTGTGTGCGCATACGTACAGGGCTTCTCTGCGTACCGCAGTACACGGCTGTGCTGGTACTGTGTGCGCACACCCGCGTGCTACAGCTTTCTGGGGCACGGGTGTGTAGATAAATGTGTGTGGGCACTCTGTGTGTGCGTGCGCACACGTGTGTGTATGTGCATGCACGCACACGTGCTAGCGGCCCGGGCGCTGGTGCATGTGGGGGTGCAGGCTCACGCTTCTGGGGTGAGGGTGCTGGTGCGATGCACGTCAAAGCCTTCGGGGCTGGGGAGGGGGTCCCTGCTCACGGTGGTATCCCCGGACGGGCAGGGGGTGGGTGCCAGGGCAGGGTGCCCTGCGGGGCACGGGTCTCCCTCTCTGACCCCGTTCTCCCACAGGGCTGGCTCAGCATCCTGGCACTGCCCCACGCCGCAGCGAGCCCAACGAGCGCTCCATCCCCCAGTGGTGCTACCGGTGAGTGGACCCCACCTGGGACCCCCCCACACCCACACCCCAAAGCACCACACTGTCTCCTGCACCATGCCTCAGTTTCCCCCAGCTTCCCTCATCTGCCGCTTCCCATGGGCATCCCTGTTGCCTGCCCGGAGGGGTTCAGCCTGGCATGGGGTGGGTTGGGGGATGCAGGGGAAGGGGTGTCACTGACCGGGCACCCCCTCCACGCCTCGCCCGCAGCATTGACGAGGATGAGAACTGCTACCCTCACAAGCTGGCCTTCGCCAGCAGCTGTGTGGACATCAAGATGGGGCAGGAGGCGACATCGCTCAACTCAGTGGTCATCCACCAGACCACGATGGTCCTGCTGCACAAGCCCTGCCTGCGTCCCACTGGCCTGGGCCTAGTCACCTTCAAGGTGGACTACATCAGGGTCCCGGTGGGCTGCACCTGCGTCCTGCCCCGCACCGGGCACTGAGCCCCCGCCCCGCACCCATTGAGCCCCGTAGCTTGACCATGTCACCGCATCCACCCCCACCCATGCTTGTTTCAGAGCACCCACCCAGCCCCCCACACCGCCCCACAGCCGGGTGTCCCACCCCCAAACCTGCACCTTCTCATTTATGACTTATTTATGAGCCTTGCTGCTCGGGGG